TGTTTGGATATATGATGTTTATAAAAAATTTAATGCTTTAACAATTTCTTTTTTAATTGGTGTTAACAAAATGTCCTAGTGGGTTAAGTTAGGAAAGTGATGATTGCATAAAACAGTTCACTTTTTCTTTTCCAGTTTCCCCCATAATAGAGATACATCTCTCTTTTTAATTTATATTTTTGTTAATTTACTGTAACGAATATCTAGATTGTTTTATAATTTTCACTTTTTTTTTTCTAATTATTATGATTAATTATCATGTTATTTTTTTTTATTGTGATATTGTACAGTTTTAGTTTATTACTGTAATTAAATAAAGGGTAATTTGTTTACCTCAGATACAATGACAAAACCTCAGAAACAGGTAACCAATATGTGTCGATTACCTTTTTGCCCTTCATGTTTTTTGAGTCTTCTATAGTGTCAAATGTTAAAGTACAAGTTACTTATGTATTAGCTTTATCAATAGTTGCATTCTCCTGTTAGAGTACAAGTTACTTAAATAAATGGTAATTTATTTTCATTGTTTTGTTTTAAACTTAATTATCATATTGGTTAAGTAGAAGAAAATCTGTAACAATATTTTTGAATTTATGCATATAAATGGTGTTATATTGTTATGGCTAATTCTAATCTTTTTGCTTTCATCTTTCAGGTGTATAAAGATGTGATGCAGAGCACGAAACAAGCCTGGTTGCACCAAATGTGATGATATAGGTTTAATTTGTCAAGTAGACACAATGTTTATCAGTAATTACATTCAAGAAATTGTGATTTATGCAATTTCTCATCATTTGATGCTTAAAGCTTGAGAATGATTATTTGTATGATATTAACTTTTGTGCAATGGATTGTATTTTTTATATATGGTATTTTATCTTCTACTATGAGATATGAAAATGAAAATTTAATTTGAAAATTAGTAAACCTGTAAATAAATTTAAAAAAAAATAAATTAAATTAAATTACGATACGCAAAAATATGTGTCATCCTCATTTATGACATAGCCTTTCTTGACAGCAGCTTTAATGATACACATTGCGTGTCATAAATGCGCGTCGTCTAAAGACGACGCGTAAAAGTGTGCCGTCTCTCGTTATGACAGGGCCTTCCTTGACACGCATTTGCGCGTCGTCTGAGCGTTTTACGACGCGCAATGAGTGTCGTAAAAGGCCTTTTTTCTAGTAGTGACAAGAACTGCCCGGGTGTCCAAAAGAACGGTCCAGTCCGATCCGGTCCACAAGTCCAAATGCTCACCCTTACTTTACGCATCAAACATCTTTTTTGAGCTATTACACATGCAATGAAGTTGTAGAGTAGAGTCTTTTTATTTCACAAGCTTAATATAAAAAATAACAATGTTTTGTATACATTCGGAAATTTTGACATGTCAAGTCAAATTTCCTAATAGCACAAAGAAGATTTTATATAATTTACGATTATAAATCCAATAACCATATGAGAAACAAGCACCTTCTAGCATTTTTAACTAAATTGAAAAATTAATGTTGATATTTATTATGATTACCCTTAAGATCTAATAATCATGTTATAGAAACACCATGTGTAACATCCAAAAAATTTACGCCAAATTTAAAATTTTCAATCATAAATAAAACCAAATAGTATTTGTTTATAAAATGTTTTCAAATCATTATTCATCAGAGTGTCCCAATAACCAGATCATAAGGAGGAGGAGCAGTACAGTCACGCCTTCGCATTTCCATGATCTCCTGAAGCACCTGAAACAATAAACTGAAAACTGTAAGCCCGAGGGCTTAGTGAGCTACCCCCAAAATACCAATACCACACTGATTATACTATATCAACAATTGATAACAACAACATGCATATTGGGCCTTCGACCTGACTAGACTGCCCTGCGGGGCCTATAGTCTATCTGGATCTATCCCAAGCCTTTGGTATGACTGGACCGCCTTACAGGCCTACAATCTCTCCGGACCACTCGTAGGGTATATTGGCCTTCTGCACAAAGCAGGACCGCCTCAACCCAACCATCAAACAAATAACCATGTTCGCATACCTAGCATATACTGACATACACAAGCATCAAACATAACTATCTCGCTGATCATCCATCATAGCAATCTCTCATAACTAGTGCACCGACCTAGCAGGTCACTAACATACCAATTCCTACGGATCATAATAGCATACTATCTATCCTAATACCGATCTAACATTATCATATCCACATATAGCATAACATAACCAATATAACGACTAAAGGGTCGGCCTTGGTGCCTTAGACCCTATTGATATAGTAAGGATAACTCACATTGCTAGCAGTGCTGAAATGCTGAAATCCTAACCGCTACCTCACTGGGAATCCCGAACTGTCATACGTAATAATTACTAGGTTATTACACGACGTTACTCTCTATACAGAGTGTCCCCATAATTCATGAAATCTATTCTCTTTTGTTGGGCTAAGGCCAAACATCAAGTCTTTATCTTGAGGGTTCAAACACTTAAGCCCAATATTGGCCCAATTTACCAAATTGGGCCCAACCTCCTTATTGGGCCTAACCCCATGATCCACTATTATAACCTGGCCCAAAATGTCATATTGCAGAGTCCAATATAGGCCTAATTCCTTTTAGCCCAATAAACCCTAAGTTCATTGGTCATAAGCCCAATAGAGAGTGTACGCGGGACGTACCTCTCTGGTTACGCGGGGGCGTACCTCTCTAGTTACACGGGGGGGTAACGCCATTCTTTGTTGACTGCCGTCGGGACCATTGACCACGTACGCTGGGCATACAAATTTTACGTTGGGCGTACGTTGGGCTTTATCAAACTCTTATAAGGGATTAATGGCTTAAGCTCTTAAGCTCAAACCCCAGATCCATCGACCAAATATGCCATGGGACCATAAAGTTCCAGAATTTATCACTTTGGACGTCTAGATAGCCCTTAACGCATGGTCTTAACCCATTAAGACCTTCTTACTTCATGCATGGGACAAAACTAACTGTTGGGGACTGATTTTTATCACTTTAGACCTCTCCTAGGGTCTGAAAGGACAACTCTTTTCGTTTAAAACATCACATGCACCATTTTGGGGATTCTTGGGACAATAAGACATTTATAAAGCTAAATGTTTAGATCTATAACTAGAAAGCACAAAGTTCCAAGCTTTTTACCTTCTGCAGCTTCAATGGCACACGCAATACAACTTCAGATCTATACCTTTGCTCTCCTCCTCTAGCTCCTTGATGTAATATCTTCACTTCCCAAGGGTAAAATGCACACTAAAACACACTTCTCACACATTCTAGGGTTTGGAACGTCTTCTGGGGGGTATGGAGGTTGAGGGTAAGCAAAAGAATGAGCCATAATAAGGATTATATAGTCCCAAATCCTGAATATTAG